GAACTGCACTGGCAGTACTAGCGATACACCAGTTGGCATGCCACTAGGTAACTCTGGTTGGGACTTTGAAAAATATTCATATCAATCATGTTTTTGTTTATCCCAAGACTACTGTACTACATTATTTCAAATACTTTTCTGTAATAATTTTTATTTTCCCTTCTCACAGGTACAGTTGTCCTTTAATACAGACACTCTGTGCTGAAACAGCTGTTAATCTCAGAGATGGAGAGATGGTAAAAAAAATAAGCCTCAAGTTCAGACCCGTGTCTGTGTGGTGAAAGACGTTTGTGTGGTTTTTTTTTTTTTCTCGCTGGAGAGGATCCATCTCTCTGGCCAAGTGAGGGGGTTGTTCTTGTTTCCATTTGCTCTTCAGTAGCTGAGCGAGAGAACGGGAACTTCTTCTGGGAACTCTAAATAGAGATGCGGACACAGTCGGGGCCTGAACGTGATCGGGCCAGAGAGAGCGGTTCTCTGAGGTTCTCAGTCCACAGCGTCCCCTCTGGAGTCATAGAGATGATGGTTCATGGAAACGTGTATTACTGTACTTCATATTCAAGCCTGCTGGATGGGAATTAAAGAGAATGTATTTCTTAGGTACAAACCGGCCGTATGGTTTAATTTGGTATCGCTTTAAAGTTGAATATGGTCGTACTATCTTTAAACTGATCACACGTTGGAATTGTTTTAATCGTAGTGTTGATGTCATAACATAATCATCCCTCAAGGAATGGGTTCGGCCTTTGCAACTTGTTCTTTTTATGACTGTTTATTCTCATGTTCAGTTGAAACGGTTGTAACTATAGCCTACATCTTTTTTTTCCTTTACTGACCTAGTTTTGTTTATTTGTACCTGCATCGAGAGCATGCTTTAAAAGACAAGCCTGTTGTGTTGTGGGTTGAAGAAATTTTGCTATGCTTAAATGTTTTGAACAGACCTGTTGTTCTTGTTGAAGAATGCAAATGTACCTGTGCACCTTCATTGAAGTTTTTACATCGGACATTCAATAGTGAATGACTCGTGACTGATTCGAAGGCCTTTAGTCGAACCGAACCGAACAAGCCCTGCTATCGAGATGTTTATGGTCTTGTAGTTGAATGTAAACGGCATAAGTGTTTTGTGCTGACTTTTGTGTCTCCTGAACCAGGGGTTTCTCCCTTTTTTTTTCTAAGAATTGTAATTGAAACTGGTGTCTTTTACGTTGCTTGCATTACCGCGAATGGTTGAAAGCTGCATAATGCCAGATGTCTGTTGAAACGTTCATAAGTGTCACTCTATCACTGTGAAGCCAAAAGTGAACTTTGAGTCACTGTTATTACAGATAGACCGAAATCAGGTCATTGCTCTTGATTATTATATTTGACAACCCTTGAAATATGTTCGTTTATTGAATAGCAGGAGGTTTTGTTTTTGTTGTTTGCACTGTAATGTAATACAAGTGTAATTTCTTTTTCCTGAAATTAGCCATTTATGTTGTTTATTTGAAATTAAATGATGCTTCTCCTTCATGCCAGTGATGTACATGATGGTTAGGTCCTATCGCTTGGTGACAGTCTAACCGTGCTAAATCTCTGAATCTTGCACAATTGTCGGCACTTAGTACTATAATGGTGTTTTATTTTTCTGACATTGCTGTGTTAAAGAGTATGATCAATATTTTTGAGCTCCTCAAAGAGAGGAAAGCAAAGACGGATGAGGAGGCCGTTGGTGCATTTTCATGTACGATGATGACCAAAGGGAAATGAAGCAGTTTTTGAAATGTGTACATTAATTGTGACCAGCTATGTGAACTCTGAACACTCAAAGTCTCCTTTCCTGCTAAATATTTTCCTCAAAACATATTTCCTGCTAACGAGAACCTCAACAGCCTAACTAAAGATCAGTGCTAGCTGCTTTTCACTTTGGAAATGAACATGTGCAGTGATTTAAGACACCAGCAAACATGAGTGTGGTTCTGTATCATATAAAATAGCATTATGGTTAAGGAGGTGATTTAGTTTTATCTTTCTAGTAAGTGCTTTGGAATGTAACTTCAGTACATGTGAATATGATTCAATATTTATGAACGTTTTTTCATCCAGTAATACCTATGTTCAGGTGAATTCCCTTGTAACAAGATTGACTGGACCTTTTCAGCTTGTTTTCAATTACCTTTATCGTTTCCATTCTCTTGTACTAACTGGGGTGAACTGGTGTTTTTAATATTAACAGGGGGAAAAGAGAATAATTAAATCAATAAATTGTTCAATTGATTTTGTGACTTTTATTTGTACACAGTCGTTTGAATAATAAAACATTTTCAGTTATAACATTTATTTAAAAATGCCATTTTTTTATTAGCAACACAATTAAAAGAAAAAAATAAAGAAATCATAAAACATTAAATAAATGCATGATGACTTAAAACAGTTCATGGTGTAATTGCTATGCAATTATATTTTAAAAACTGATAGTGTTGAGGTGGTTAAAAACAGACAATTCATGTTTAATAAAAGCTTGCGTTGACCTCATTCATCGTCTCCATCATCAAAGGCCACACCTGTTGCAGGTTTCTTTCTGTAAAATGGTTAGAAATGGTCAGTGAACAGGAGGTGAAAGAAATTTCACAGAATTTTTTGTTCATTTTTTTGTCTAAAGTCAATTAAAAAAAAAAAAATCACCTTTTTGTTCCAGGGTTGATGAGAGAATCCCCAGGAAGACGTTTTCTAACTGCTACTATTGGACCCGTGTGCTGTTTTCTAGGTTCAAATTCTAAAAAATAAAATAAAATAAAAAGTAATTTTAAAAGAGCTTAGACAATTTAAATCAGTAACATTTTTGACTCCAAGGCATTGTCCAAGACAATATTCGAAGATCCTCCTATCTAAACGTACTTATTCTTTCTTCCTTCCTTCCGTACACAGGTGTGTGTACACGATACTTCCGTTGTAATAAATAATATTTTAAAAAGCCCTCAAAAATATAATGTCAGTTTAATGTTGTACATCTTTATTTTTTGAGGTTTTTTAGCATTATAATTAAAGGTACACTATGTAACTTTTGGCCTTCTCACGGTTAAAAAACAAAACAAGAACATTGTTTTGGTTGTGCTTCGGCTCTGTGTGACTGTGCGGATGAATATGACCCTTTTGATACGATAGATAATGCTTTACAATAAACTCTGTTAGAGCTACATATGGCAATTTATCTTTCCCGCAAAAACCATACTAAGATAAACACTTTCAATAGGCGTGAATAAGAGTAAGACAAAAACATGCTTTGAATGATGTATCGACTCATTTTTTAAATTAATTTTGAACAAAAAAAGTTACATAGTGTACTTTTAAGATCATGTTAATATAACTAAATTTTCATAATTTTTAAAATCATGTTTGAGAACCACTGATTTAAATCCACTTGACTAAATCCAACTAACAAGCTTAAAGAGTACTGCCTTAACTTACCAGAACTCCTCTTCTGAGGGTTCTTGACTGGACTAAATGAAGATGATGCACCTAAAAATGATTGAACACATCAAACATTTAGCTCCAGGGTTTAATTATTTTGAAAAATAGCGATTATAATAATTGAAAGTATCTTTGCTTGCCTTGACTTTCTAGCTGTTGCAGGCTGTCAGCCATTTTAAATAGCAGCTCCTTGACTTCTGTCCTTCCCTCAGAGTCAGTGAGTTTTGAAAGAGACAGACTGAGGTCTGTAGGTTCAGATCCTAAATGCAGCACAGCACTGTCCTCCTGCAGCTTCACAAATGCTCTGCCAGTCTTACATGCACATCTGTCCAGATACACAAGAGGGTGTTCTCAGACAGGATAGAAGATCTTGCCAACCAAAGAAATCAGACTATCAATTACTCATCAGGTACTCTTGACTTTCACAGATCCTCACTTGAGCTTGACGGTATAATCCTCTGTGGACTTTAATGCAAACTTCTTAAACTGTAAAGAAATAAAAAGCTTTGTATTATTGCTGTAAAAGAGGAATATCTTTCATGTGGAAAGACTCCCATTGACAAATTTTGTGTTTTTTACTGTGAAGTACTTTGGTAGGCCTTGGCCTTGGAAATGTGCTATATAAATAAATGTGACATTGACATTGACAAATCCTTACAAGCTGGGACACAATCTCCTCTGTAAGGTGAGTTTTCCAAACATCTTCACCATTGGTAAATCTATAAGAAACAGGACATCACAATATATACAATTATATATTAAAGTTTAGGATTTACATTCAAAGTTTAAGATTTTTTAATTAATTGGATGAAAAACGAGTGAAAATTAGAAATGCTGTCAACTTAAACTGAAATAAGTAGCTACACTTGTACTTACTAAAACTGAAATAAAATAAAATTAAAGTTAATTAGAATTTTTTTTAAGAAAAACTAATAAAGATGACAAAAACACATTACAAAATTCCTAAGACTTAATATGAAAACTGGAAATATAAAAAACTAATTCAAAATATGAATAAGAGTATGTTAATAATACTAAAATAACACTTCTAGAATTAACCTACATTTATAATTATTATACATGAATTATAGATGGAGTATAGCTCATCAAACTGCGGTCACTGCTTGTCGACATTTCAACTCACCCTATGTTTATTTCTCCTGCTGATCGCTTTTGCGTAAAAAACACATACTTGGACTGATCGTTTTTATCCAGCAATGTGCAAACGACATATTTTGCCTCGGGGTTAATCTGATCCATACTGATGTTCCGTACAATCACATAAAAAGTGAAAACTGCATGCTTTTCAACTAGGAACTGTTCACCATAAACAACAAGGGCGCCATTTAAACGCTCAGCCAGTCAGACTCAGACATCAGGCACCCGGAAGTTGTTGTGCCATTCACGTCCTGTTTACCTCGTAAAAACGATAAAAGGCGAAGTTACACAAAAATAGTTATGACCTGGAAACTGGTATTTGAAGTAAAGTTATGAAATGTAATAGAAATTCAACATATAAAATGATATAAAATGTAAACAAATGATTTACTGACAGCTGGTCTGCTGTGCTGTAACGTAATGCAGGGATTATAGAGTGACAGGACGCGTACAGTCATTTCTTGGTCAGTTACAGTTATTTCTTGGTCAATTCTAAGTTGCTTCATATTATGCAGAGCCGCTTCGATGGGTTGGCATTCTCGAACCCGAACTCTGCAAGTGTTTGACACGGAGTTAAGCGCTGATACCGTGGAGTGGTGCCCATTACCACAATGGTCTCATGTTCTGGCATGTGGGACTTACCAACTTCAAAAAGGCGATGATAAGGTAATTAATGCAAAATATATTTTGATTTTATTTTATGGAAGTGTGTGTGTGTGTACTATGTACCCAGAAATTACCAAAATGTCCAAAATCCTCCCTTTAGGGACGTCCTCATTTGTAAAGCTGGTATACAAATATAAAGTAGGCTAATTTTTTTTTAAATGTAAAAATGCAGAAAGTTTTGTGTGATGGGTAGGTTTAGGGGTAGGGTTAGTGTAAGGGGTTAGAATATACAGTTTGTATAGTATAAAAGCCATTACGTCTATGGAATGCCCCCATTTAAATAGCTAAGTAGTGTGTGTGTGTGTGTGGTATTATTAGTTGTATCAACTGGCCACATCTACAAATTGTTTTCTGTTAACCGCAGACAGCAGAAGACTCTACTGCCCTGAACAGAATCGGTCGACTTTATCTGTTTCACTGTAATCCGCAACCATCGTTCATCCCTCCATTGACAGAGACTCAGAGAATAGACACTCCAGCTATACTCGACCTCAAGTGGTAAGGCAGTCTCACTATTCATTCTGCTCACTACAATTCACTCTTAACCTACTCCTTTACACACTATATATGTTTTTGTGGTTTTTTGTACATTCTGTGTATATATTTTGCATATTGTTTATATGTGATGGCGTGGATCCATCCATTCTCCACACCTACAGTAAGTAGTCTCTGGCTGAGCTAATGAAACACCCTGGACAGATGGTCAGTAATGCCAAGTGGTGCTCACTGCAGAGGCAAATGACGTCCAGCTCCACCTCTCTGGACCTCATGGGTTGAGCTTGACCTAGTCCAGCTCCACCTCTGTGGATCTAATGGGTGGAGGGATAGAGTTATGGGTAGAGTTAGGTTGTGGTCGGACCTTCTAGCTCCACCCCTCCAGTAATGGCATGAATGCTGATTCAGATTCTTATAGCTATATTTGAATTCCTCAGGTGTCATGTGCCGATATCAGAACGTCCATTGTTGGGTATGGCCACTGCAAGTGGAGAAATCCAGCTGTACAAGCTTATGGAACCTCAGGTGACCAATCAAACTCATGCTGCATGAGGAGATGCACATTCAAGGACTGTGATAGATATAATAAAAGTTAAGCTCTATTAGCAGCACCAATTATTAATTGAGGTTAAATCCATAGCCACTGGAATGTTTTTGGAAATGCATTACCACAATTATAATTAATATGAATTATTGAAATTCTATTATTAATAATACATACATTTAGAATCCTCCTGCAGCTCAGGGCCCAAGTCCGCCTAACATTATAGGCATCGGACACTATGTTAAGATGTTTTATTGCTTTTGCTTGATTAAGTGTCTTTTGCATGTATGGACTGTGTTTCCAGTAGCAGGGCACCTGTGGTCTGGAGTGTGAGTTGAAAGCAGAGTTGGGTCCTGAAAAACTAGCCTTGTCTTTAGACTGGTCCACAGGGAGAGGTGACAGGTAAGGTGCACTCATCATTGATGGACTGATGATTTGCCATTGCATTTGTCTCTGTATATTATGGTTACTGTTGTCTTTTTGCAGCAGTGATGTGCGTGTGGTGTCCAGTGACTCAAGCGGCTCTCTCACAGTGCTGTCTCTGGGGGAAGCCAGTTTAACTGCTGTGTGTCAGTGGAAAGCTCATGACTTTGAAGCCTGGATATCAGCATTTAGTTACTGGGATACTCAGATTGTTTATTCAGGTATGAGGAAAACGAGCAAGCAAAAGGAACTGTTTGTCACTGTTGTGCTGTTATGTGTATCGTCATTGCTTTAGTGTTGTTATTGCTAACTAAAACTATAAAAAAATAATTTTTGATAATTGAAACAAAGCTGGAATAAAAAAAATAAAAAAATACATTTCATGGAAATTTGAAATGGTGCCTTGGTAACTAACTGAAATAAAATAATTAAACACTAAATAGAAGTATTTGTTTAAATTAAACTAATTACATTATAAAAGCACATAACAAAATTCAAAAATATAAAAATAAAAGCTAATTAAAAATATTAATAAATACTATAATAGTATAAAAATAACACTGCATTGATTTATCTTTTCATGTAAATGTATTTATTTGTATCATTACTTTGTAACACTATAATAAGGTTCCATTTGTTCACATTAGTGAACTACATTAGTGAGTGAACATGAACTAACAATAAAAAATACTTTATGTATTAAAAATACATTTATTATTATTATTATTTCATTTTAATTTCAGCATTTACAAATACATTATTACAATCAAAAGTTGTGTCTGTTAATATTATTTAATGGACCTGAGCTGACATGAACTAACAATGAACTGTTGTATTTTATTAACTAACATTAACAAAGATTAATAAACACATGTATTGCTCATTGTTAGTTAATGTTAGTTCATGCATTAATTAATTTGACCTTATTTTAAAGTGTTACTTATTACTTTTTATAATTGCCATCTCAGGTGGTGATGACTGCAAACTAAAGGGCTGGGATCTGAGAATGGGTCCCTCTTCCCCCACCTTCACCAGCAAGAGGTGAGACAGTAGCTGTGATGTTTCATTAACCAACATTACTTTTAGCCTTTGAGTCCACTTAATTAGGTTCTATATGCTGTTTATGCACAGTCATGGTAAATAAATACTACTGTCCTGTCTCAGACACACTATGGGAGTATGCAGCATACACAGTAACCCCCATCGAGAGCACGTACTAGCCACTGGGAGGTAGGAGGCAACTGAAAATATAAAACATGAATTATAAATCTAAAAGAATAATTAATTATTGCAAAAATCATCATTACAGTCTGTGAGAAAAGAGTCTTTTCCCTTAGTTTCTGCTGAAGCAATCATCAAAAACACAATATTGAAGTATATGACGTGTACATGTTTTGTCCCTCTTGTAGCTATGATGAGAACGTGTTGCTCTGGGACGGGAGGAACATGAAGACGCCCCTGAATGAGACTGCAGTGGGTGGTGGCGTGTGGAGACTCAAGTGGCACCCCAGTCAAGAGCACCTGCTGCTAGCTGCATGTATGCATAATGATTTCCATATTCTCCACTGCCAGAAAGCTATGGGTAAGAATGACTGTTAATCTTTGCCACTGTCTATGCCAATGATAAATATGCACACTATCGTTCGAAAGTTTGGGGTCAGTGAATTCTTTTTTGAAAGAAATTATTTTTATTCAGCAAGGTTGCATTTCAAATCAACTTTCTATTCTGTAAAGAATCCTAAAAATATATATCACGCTTTCGTCAAAAATATTAATCAGCACAACAGTTTTCAACGCTGATAATGATAAGAAATGATCAAAGAAGGAATCATGTGACTGGAGTGATAGCTTTGCCATCACAGGAATAAATTACATTTTAATATAGAAAGGTTATCTTATTGTACTAATATTTCACAATATTACTGTTTTTACTCTTTTTGTGATCAAATATATGCAGCCTTGGTGAGCATAAGAAACTTCTTTCAAAAAATTACAATCGCTACAGACCCCAAACGTTTTACCTGTAGTGTAATTTACCATTCTTCATAGTAACTTTTGGTTTCTCCCTAATATCCACATTTGTAGAGGGACAAGATGCACCATGTTCTGTTCTGGCCTCTTATATTCTACACAACTCTTTAGCATATGGAGCAGACTGGTCCAGACTCCCCCTAAGCAACTCCACGCCCCCCTCTCCTCAGGAACCTCCCCAAACCAGCGTTGGGCTCACAGAGTCCGGAGGTCATCTCAGGATCCAGTATGAATCGCCCACTGCCAGCTTTGATACCTCTCTGGAGGATGACTCGGGGCAATACGTACCTGATCATTGTCTTTTACCCGAAAAAAGATCAGCTCCAGACCCCTTCACCAGCCCTGTCAGAGACGCCCAGTCTCTGTCCTGCCTGATGGCTACCTGCTCCTTCTACGACCACATGATGCACGTTTGGAGATGGGACTGGAGCCCAGAGGAAGAACAGATGACGTCTGAACCCGCCCACTCTTCCTGAACACAGTTGCTATGATTGGGCTTTTGTTATGAGGTTATTGGGGACTGCGCATTTCAACAGTGTCCTGCTGAAACGTCTGCAGTATTGCTTTGTATTCAATACATGCAATTTTGGAAAATGTCATTTTCTGACTATATATTGTAGCTAGAAAATGTTACGATTTTTCTAGTGTGATTAGTCCCAATTTAGTTTTACATTGAGAAGTAGACCGACACCTTTTATAACAAATAAACCATAACAATAAATTCAAGTGTCTACATTTATTTGTTCTGTAAAATAATTTTTCTAAGGCAGGGGTTTTCTATCTTTTAAATGCCAACGACCCTTAAATAGGATCATTTTTTAATAGGATCATAAGGGTCCGCATGTAAGGGACCCTCATCCTAAAATGTAAAAGGCATCTATATAGTTTTTACTTGCACTGTGAAAAATAAATATGTCAAATATATTATTTGGAAAATATTTAGTCTCTGATAAGTTACATTGTTACATTTTCTTTTCCTAATCTTTACAGTACTGTATTTTATTTACTCATTTATTCACTTATTTTAATCTATTATTTATTATGTATTTATTTACTCATTTACTTTATTTAATCTAACTTGTATTTATTCTTTTTTATTGTATTTTTTTAACACCTGTTCTGTTAACATTTCCACTGAGCCCCTAACACTTCTTTGTGGCCCCCTCGACCCCAGTTTAAACCCCCCTGCTCTACGAAATTATTCAATGGCAATAAATCAGTTTTGCTAAGGGTTAGGCATTTTTTATTCCAGTAGTTTTTAAATAATTTCCAAATAAAGAGTCAAGTATGAAATGGTTTTAATCTTAGATGATATCTGTTCATGGAAAATTCTAACAAAACATAACCTGCTTGTTTACAGTCCATTGCAAAGCACTGAAACACAAAGTCCATCTAACGAACAAAGTTCTTGGGATACAGCTTGAACAGCTTCCCCTCTTGTGTTTTCTCCAATCCGTATTTCTCAAGATTGTCCACGTTGAAAACCCCTTCCTCAATGTCTCTTTCGATCTGTGGGGCCACCACCTGACTGAAGAGCTTCGCTGGAGTCATGGGCTCTTCTGTCCCTGCTGGGGTCTTGTATGACACGTAGGGTTTCAGGCTAAATCCTTCCAGGTTAGGCACCACAAACTCTGGTACCATGGCCTGTACAGGTATGAACTTTCTGCTTGAGGTGAGAACTCCTGTGGGTCTTGCGCCTCTGCTTTTGTAGAATGTCCTGGGCCCACGCTTGCTCGTGAACTCCGCCATTCTGTCAGCTCCTCTCACGAGTCCCCGCGTCAGCGCTGACAGCACCCCCATTTAAGAGTGATTTATCTGCAGCAATAACCTGTATCAAAATCAATGTATTTATTTTAAACAACTAATAACATTATTTTTGTTTCAAAATCGATTTCATTTAATTATATTTTAAACAACTTCATAACATTATTATTTATTTAATTTAATTATATTTTAAACAGTCTCATAACATTGTTTCAGTAAATGTAATGGTATTTTACACAATTTCATAACATTTCTGTAATTGTATTACTGTAACTTCAATGAAAATGCATTTATGGCACCCATGTGCCGCATTAAGCAATCCTTTGTATTGTTTGAGTGAGATCCTATTAACATTGACTATGATTTTACAGTAGTAAGAAAACGGTGGTAATTTTGTATTTTGGGCAGAAACTAGCTGCTATAGTATAATACGAAGAAGTTGCAGCAGAGCAGGTGATGCTCCATGTCCATTATGTTGGTAGAGCACCACCAATAGTAAATAATAACGGTCATCTTTAATAAATGATGTATTTTTGCATAGTAAGGAAGAATGACAACAAAATGAACAACAATATAATCTTTTTGAAAGTCGTCTCACTGTATTCAGGTTAAATAAATGCTGGTTCAAAATGAAGGATGGAAGATACTATACAGTTGTGTAACGTTAGTTGAAATCGTTCACTGCATTCACTTTTCAGAAATCATAAAATAAAATAATGAAAACGTCGCTGGCCACATATGAAGTATAATGTAATTAGATATCATAGATCATTAAAAAAGACCCACACTCACCTTGAACGGTGTGCTACTGTGCTTTCAAGAAGATCACTACGTTACGCGTAGTAAAGAAATCAACTGTAATTGGTCAGATCAGCACGAAGACAGCCAATAGGAGCAGCGAATATTGATTAGAGGCTCTATGTCTGTCATCGGCAGTGTTGCCATATCCGCTTGTTATTAAATACTTTGGGCTTGTTTTCTCATAAACTGTGATAAATGTCCTACTATGCTGCAGATTTACCATTATTGCTTGCATAGTTTGTTTCTTAGCGCCACCGTCGATTCGTAAATGCGCCCGCCCCGTTTCCTCGGGCAGGAGAGAAATGTATTGGTTTGGAATATATGCACAGTTTATTTAGTTTTATAAGTCATGTTTTAACTATTTTAATAATAATAATAAAAAAAACTATATATTTATAATGAAAAAGAATTAATTTGCAGCAAGTTGCAGTTAAACAAAATGTATGTTTTAGGTTTATGCTAAAGAACATCTGATCAATGAAATTAAGCAATTCTCATTTCTTGATAATCCAAATCCAAAAAAGAGGCTAATTTTGAGCATATTGAATCAGCCCGGGAGGATTGTTTTTCTTAAAGGACCTGGCAACACGTGTATTCAGTGGGAAGTGAATGGAACCCCTGGGAGACTCTAAAGTACATTGAGTGACAAAAACAGAGTTTGGAAACGCCGTTCAAAAGGTATTTTTCATTTATTCATGGACATTATTTGCACGCAGGATCTCCGCGTTATACAATGAAATAATGTTTTTCACAATCGTGTTAGTTAACGTTACACTGATTGGCAAGGTAACGTTATTTGATTAACGTACAAGTGAGTGTTTACAGCCGCGGCTTGAGTGTAAACAACACAACTGAGTTAACCTCTGACCGAGAGCCACGTCCGTCCGTCATGCAGCTCCTCCTGAAACAACAAAACTCTCATTTACAATATTCTTCCTTTCGGTGCAACACACTTACAATTTAAGTTTTCGCGTCACCTTCACTCTTCGTTGAGCGTTTGACTTTTCCTCCTGGTAGAAGGTCTCATAAATCACACCACATGGTGTCAGATTGCAGTGAGTGAAGGCAGTGTCAGATGGTTCCCTGACTCAGGTTCTTGCCGGTCTTTTTGTCAAAATCCCTACCACTGCCATTTTCAACAGGCCAGACTCAAATTACTTATTTTTCCAGTCTCACTTGTTGTTGCTATGACATATTTTGCAAAGTGAGCTGCTATTGTATGAAAATTTTAACCCATATTTAGTAGAATTAGGTATTATGTCAACTATTTTAACCTTGTAATTAACCGTGGGTCTCTGAGGGTTAAGCATGTACATAGAGATTGTTTTATGCCACTTAAATAGGTATTGCATATTGTAAGAACATTGTGAGTTTTTATGAAATTAGATTTGAGATGTGTGTCAAATGTGTTTATTTCTGTTGTCTCGTCTCTGGAAGATATGGATGAGAAAGAACAAGATGATACGTGCAGTATATTTCCGGTAAGACATCTCAGGGAAGCCATTGCCGATTTTAGATTTTGATTTTAAACTAATAGCTAACACGTGTATCAGTGAGTGTCTCTAAATAAATTAATTAATACATGAATAAAGCCATGCTCTTTATACTACTAAAGTCACTTGCAGTACGCTATTTAAAGGGAACACCATTAGATTAAACTGGACTTTGTCCAAAAGCATTAGTCTTGTGATTTACACAATGAAACAATGATTGAGCAAGACTGTGATCTGATGACTCCACATTTCCCAGATCAATCTCACTTGAGATTGAACCAGTAACCTTTATGTTAGCCGTTTTGCCTTTGTGTTGTAGTTGCTCGGGTTCTCTTTTCCTGTAAGGTGTGGTTTATAATCATGATTTTGGTTGCACTTTTGTGGATTCTAGGCAGTCCTGCCATCTGGGAGTGAAATCAAAGCCCGGGTGCAGAACTTCATAGAGGATCAGTTGCAGACCACCATGGTATATGACAATTCCTCATGTTTTAGTGAATTAATAGTCCATAATGTTTGTCTTGCAAAAGTTTATTTATTTATTTTTTTTTCCCCATTTCATAATACAGTGGACTGGTGTGTTGATTGGAGCTGCTGTTGCAGTTTCCCTTATAAGTATTGTTACCTTTTTTCTGCACAGAATATACAAGGCTGGTGAGTGTGTGATCATTTATGATTTAGAGTTTTCTCACCACTAGGTTTATACTTATTTTAATAAGCACAATATAGACAGATAAATGTGAAATAGACAGTTCTTATAATGCCTCGTATTTTGAGTATTTTTAACCAACTGTTTTACTTTTGATTTTCCAGGAGAAGAGCAAACTGAAGGTCCTAAATATCGTTTCAGAAAAAGAGACAAAGTGCTGTTTTATGGCAGGAAGATAATGCGGAAGGTACCAGAACTTTCCAGTGTGTTACTTTCAACAAAACTGTGGTTAACATGATAGTCATGTGATGATTTTTAAATTGCAGTGTTGTTATTTGTGGCCATTCAGGTCCAGACCTTGTCCTCACCACCCACCTCAGGTCCAGTATCTCAAAAGCGAACCAGAAAAAGAACAAAAGTATTGTCGATAGCTCGCAAGTATGTGAAAAGTCACAGATGAAGAACGAACATACATTTTAAACAAACCATGTCTACCAAAGCATCTTAACATCCTATCCATCTCTTGATCAGAATCCTGCGTATCCGAAGGGAGCCACCAACCCTTCAACCGAAAGAACCTCCTCCTTCCCTCTTGGAAGCAGATCTGACTGAATTTGACATGCAGAGCTCTCACCTGCCCTCTGAAGTCCTGTATATGCTGAAAAATGTGAGGTTGGTACCTTGTCATTTCATCTTACAAGAGCTATCGATTCTTTTCCATAATAAACAGTGCACAGAATCCAAGGTCTAATGATCTGGCAATGTTGTTCGGCACCTAATGAGTTGTGATATGTTCTGTTTCTCAGGGTTCTGGGTCATTTTGAGAAGCCTCTGTTCCTGGAACTGTGTCGGCATATGGTGTTTGTGCAGCTGCAGCAAGGGGAAGGATTATTCCGCCCAGGTGACATCGATGACAGCATCTTCGTAGTGCAGGATGGACGTCTTGACCTGTGCATCCATGAGAGTGTAAGAACCAAACGGTCTCAAAATACCTGTTTTTAATCTTTCCTACTGAAAACAGGGTTGTGTTCTGCCTATTATAGAGATATACCAATTTATGACTAAGCGTATTTTTCTTTCTCTGACTCAGGATGGGACTGAGGTTGTGGTGAAGCACGTTTTGCCTGGAGACAGTGTTCACAGTCTTCTCAGCATCCTCGATGTCATCACTGTAAAACCCATCTGGCCTCTTTTTTACCCACTCTGATATGCAAATGTTTGTATTTTGACCTGTTTTCATGCCCACTGAAGTTTTAAATTATGTCTCACGTTTGAAACCCGGATTCCACAGGGATATCCAGCTCCCTACAAAACCGTCTCAGCCAGAGCAGCAGCCCGAACTACTGTTCTCCGCCTCCCTGCGCAGGCTTTCCAGTCCGTCTTCGAGAAATACCCAGAGACCCTAGTCAGAGTTGTTCAGGTATAATCTAAATCCTAATATACATTCCCCCTTAAAAGTGGGGGTCGTAACTTTAAAAAAAGGTTTTGAAAGAAGCCTCTTATGCTCACAAAGGCTGCATTTTTATCAAAAATACAGTAAAAATAGTAATATTGTGAAATTTTATGTTTTAAACATTTATGTTTTCAAATGTAATTTATTCCTGTGATGGCAAAACGGAATTTTCAGCAGCCTTTACTTCAGTATTTTTCTAAAAAATACAAAATGAGACTCCAGTCAAATCAGTTGTTAGAAATACTTGTTTATTGTACATATGACAGGACAATGTTTTTTGTTAATGTTTTTTTCAGATTATCATGGTGCGACTTCAGAGAGTTACCTTTCTTGCCCTTCACAACTATCTGGGCCTGACCACAGAACTTTTCAATCCGGTTAGATGTTTATCTATAAATCACGTTCTACTTTTGGAAAATATTTTACACTATTACAGTAGGCTATTTATTACAGTACATACGTTGAATAGTCTATTTCTGTCACATCATGTAGGAAAGTCAAGCTGTTCCACTGGTGTCAGTGGTTGGTGTTGTAGGAGAGGTCAATCCAGGCAAAGGACTACGCAGACAATCACAAACGATTGAGGAAGTGTCTGACAAAGTCCCACAGAGGTCCTTTGACCATTACAATGACACAAGTCAGATATACAGAGGAGAGGGTATGATGTGTTTACTTAATGCAGTTAAATGCAAATATTTCCTGTGAATCATTTACACATGCAGACTGTAGACTTTTTGTGCTGAATGGCTTTCCAATAAAATTGTTTAAATATTCCTATTATTACCTTAATAATAAAAAAATATATTTCTTAGAGTTATAAGACAGCCTGTGGGTCTTACTTGCTCTTTTGTTTTCAGATGGTGGTAAGCCCATTCGTTCAGAAAGTCCAACCACTTTATTCAGGAAGTCTCGCTCACTGTCAACCCCTTTCGACAGTGCACATGGTAGTGTTTCACCATGCACCTTTTACAAAATACCCAATACTAACTTGGTTCTCAAATATCATGCATCCCTACCTAGCTTGAATACATTCATAATGAACATGTTTGAGTGTGGTAATGTGTGCTTATCCTACAGCTGGGTCTCCTGACCAGAATATGGCCTTTGACAGAACAAGCATTACAAAAGAGAATGCCCCTTCAAGTCCTATTGTCATTCATAAGGTACCTTGGCATCATTCTATCACAAATTCAAAGAAGAAGCCATAAACTGTTTTATTTTTTATATTTGTTAATATCCTGTACATTGCATGTGTGTGTTTATCTTTCCTCCTGTCTGAAGTCTATTCGGAAGAAGTCGGTGACTCTGCAACATTCTCCTTCAGCTGTGTTTCACTACTCAGACACTGGGGGTCACTCCAGCCACATTCACCACTGTAAAGTGAATGCCATTTTTCAAGCTGCCAAGAAGGACTTGCTCAAGATTATACAGCTTCAGGTCAGGCCACATTAATTATATTGTTCTACTAAAGTGAGAAGTTTAATTACAATATGGAATATTGCCATATAAGTATAAAAATACTTTGTGCTCCAGGACTCCAGTCTTTTGGAAGATAGGGTGACTCTGAGACAAGTTAAGGCGGGGTCTGTGGTTGCAAGTGAGGGAGACCAGGTAAGAACTCAGAAATTTCACCAAAAAAAAAAAGTGATAATTACAATTTCAATTTCAATTCACGTGTGAATCCATTTCTACTTTGTGTCTGTGACAGGATGTGAGCGTGCTGTTTGTCATCTCAGGAGCTCTTCATGTGTACCAGAGACAGATTGACAGAGAAGATGAAACGTGTCTTTTTGTGACTCACCCTGGAGAGATGGTGGGCCACCTGGCTGTTCTCACAGGAGAGCCTCTCATCTTTTCTGTGCGTGCCCACCGGGACTGCTGCTTCCTGTCTATCTCCAAAGCACACTTCTATGAGTATGTGATGTGCACCAAATTTCACTTAAGGCAATTAAAAATTCTAGCAAATGTACTCTCTGCCTGCTGTGAGAAAATTCAAGATGATTATGCACATCTCAACTGATTAAAATAGGGAAAAATCATAATTTGATACTTTTTTAGCAGTTATATAGTGAGTAACAAGCTATTAATAACATTGTTTCTGAAAATGAAGCACAGATACCAAGCAATGAGGTCTTTTCCCCCCTTGTTTTCTTTTGGTTTATCAAAACCTTCTTAGTTTTTGTTATTTTTTTTTTTTCCAACATATTTACTCGCCTTTAGGTTTTTTTGTAGGTCACAAATCAAAAATTATAATAAAATAATTATACAAAAAATAAATGAATTTAAATAAAAAAAGAATTATATAAGAATTAGAAACATTTTCTTTAAAATTGTGTCAAATTATATACAGCATATCAGAACCCTGATTAACATGTCAACTGTACAACGTATACTCTAGGATAATGCGTGCCGAGCCTCGAATGGTGTTACATGTAGCTCACACGGTGGTACGGAGGGTCTCCTCCTTTGTCCGACAGATTGACTTTGCCCTGGACTGGATGGCACTGGAAGCCGGACGGGCTGTCTATAGGTAAGCACACTTTTCCTAGACAATCTCTCAGTTCCAGATCTATATATCTCAGGTCACTGCTCTGCTCTTTGATGTGAATAATAACCTGAGAATGCATGTATTGCATTGATTTTTCTTTTTTGTCTTTCTCAGACAAGGTGATAAGTCAGACAGCACTTTCATTGTTCTGAGTGGCCGCTTGCGCTCTGTCATCATGAAGGATGATGGGAAAAAAGAGCTTGCTGGAGAGTATGGACGGGGAGACCTCATTGGTGTGGTGAGTGGTGATATATACATGTATGTATGCATGTACTACTAATTTCTAGTAGTTTTCTAGAACTGGAGTTTTTGTTTCTGTATCTGTTAGCTTTTAGCCCATCTGTATGCTAGTGTACTTTTAAAAGTTGACAGAGTAAATTTTTATAAGATATATTTTAAATGTACAGTATTTCTCTCCTAGGTAAAATCGCCCATTTTGATGAAATCATCTCCTATTCAAAGCCATATTATATACTTATCCAATGAAATTTCCTCTCCTTGTAATACCACCTTCTACATAGTTTCAATAGCAAGTAATAGGCTGTTGACTATTTATAAAAGCTTTACTAAGAATTTCATTACAGTAAAGACAATAATTTTGAATCCTTTTGTAGGTTCTTTTAACAAATGCTGCGGCAGTTTCCCTCTGTTAAAAGTATGTGTGTTGGTGTTAGGTGGAAACTTTGACTCACTTGAACAGAGCCACTACAGTCCATGCAGTCCGAGACTCTGAACTGGCCAAACTGCCTGAGGGAGCTCTCAACTCTATTAAGAGGAAATACCCACAGGTTAGACCATACACTCATTAACAAATCTCATGATATTATATTGCATATATATTAACATGTTACACTCTTTCATAGGTTGTTACTCGTCTGATTCATCTTCTTGGGCAGAAAATCTTGGGTAACATGCAGCAAGTGAATGATCCACTATCAGGTGTGTGTTTGTGAAACATTTGTGTGTGTGTTTGCGTTTTGTATTTTTCCTGATGAACATTAATGATCTCCACAGTGCGTAGCCTGGGTTTTCACACCCCAACCAGCAAGTGGGAAGCAGGTAACCCAGCTGCTAATCTGTCAACGGTCACCATTCTGCCTGTTTCTGAGGAAGTGCCTTTGACTGCCTTCACGCTGGAGCTGCAACATGCTCTCAGTGCTATTGGTCAGCTATTAGTCTCTTTTCCCTCCTTAATTTGCCTCAAAGTTAACCTGATACTAAGTCTTAACTATCTTCATTTTGTTTTTTTTATTAGGCCCCACTTTGCTTCTAACCAGTGACATCATTAGACAGCATCTAGGTGTTGCAGCCTTGGACAGGTGAGAGTTGCATACAGTACTTGCATACTATGCACTAAAAGTGTGTACCTCACTGGTAATGGAAAACATACTTTTAAGTATGTATAAAACAGTATGCCATCTTGATTTTACAGACTCCATTGTAACATTTGCATGTAGGTGTTAACATCTTGCTAAACTCATTACCTTAAAAATCATTAATAGGGCCTACTTAACTCTTAGGTTCACTGAAACCCACTGGAAATATCATCAAGGCATATTTGACATGCTATTTTCAATATACTATGATTTGGGGCGCACATTCTAATATTGCATGCCATTTAAGATGGATAGTATGCAAATTGAGATGTAGTGTAGTTTTTTTCTAGTAACATTAGTCAGACGTTGTCTTTTTTGTTTCCTGTGATTTATTGTTCATATACAGTACTTTATTATTTCCTTTTCAGTGTTCATGAGTACCGTTTGTCAAGCTGGTTGGGTCAACAAGAGGACATCCACCGGATTGTTCTGTATCAGTCTGACAGTTCTCTGACTCCTTGGACTCAACGTTGCATCAGACAGGCGGACTGCATCATCATCGTGGGTCTGGGGGAACAGGAGCCCACTGTGGGAGAGGTGAATTGTCATTAAAAAGGTTTTGTATATAAATACTACTTTAGAAGAGTATTTTAAGCAAGCAAATCCAGTCATATCAGTTGCCTAACTATTTATTTCACAAAGAGGGGATTGCCTCACAAGGGCCAAAATGATGACATCAATTAATTTAATTTCTGCACATGCATTTCTATGAAATTATTTGGTAAACTGAGCTTTTTGGCTTTGTTTGTGGTATCAGCTGGAGCGTATGCTGGAGAGCAGTGCCGTGAGAGCTCAGAAGCAGCTGGTCCTGTTGCACCGTGAGGACGGGCCTCCACCCAGAGGAACCGCAGAATGGCTCAATATGCGCAGCTGGATCTCTAGACATCTTCATCTGTCATGTCCCCACAGGGTCTTCTCCAGGAGGAGTCTACCCAAACTGGTACTAGTGCTAACATTATTATAGTTTTAGCAAATGCCTATATCAAGCCTGAGGACCCACGGAAAATCCATTTTCCAAACCACTTGTCCTATGTAGGGTTGCGGGATCCTGGAGCCAATCCCAGGGTCTCAGGCCATAGGCAGGGAAACACCTTGGATGGATGGCCAGTCTATTCAAGGGCAGCCAAGGAATAATAGTTCACACAAAAATTCTTAACATTTTCTCACCTTTAAGTTCTTCCAAACCTTTATGACTTTTTTCTTTTTTTTGCGGAATGAACAACTTTTTGTTTTTCAATATTTATAGCAGAATGCATGATTTCCATACAATGATAGCTAATAAAAATAAAAATATTTTTTTTTGTAATGCACCTTTCTTATTCTCAAATACATAAAACAAGCAAAACAATACATAATACATGATACATTCATTCTAAGAATAAATTAAAAGCACTATTAAAAAGGTGTTTTTGAAGCAATTTCTTTAAAAATAATAAAATGAAGGAGCTTTCCTAATGAAAGCAGGTAATGTGGACCACCACTGTCAAGCAAGATTTGCAGTGAATTTTACACTGTTTAAGCAAAGTTTTCATGTGACTTCAGAAGATTTAGAACATGGCGTATTACTATTGTGACTATTTTATGAAGATTTTATGGTGATTTTAGTCCTTTTTTGTACTTGACAGCACCTGAGGGTTTATAGAAACATGTTATCTCACAATCCTATCCTATCTGTTTAGTAGCTTCACTGAGAAAGTATAACTTTTCAAATCTTAAGCCAGCAATTCCCAATTGGACCCATCCAATTTCATTTTATGTAACATGAACGTTCTTCAAATCATTTTCTGTGTCTAATCTAATCATTATCATCTTTTATCCGTGCAAACTCCCACTTTCCTCCCATCCTGTCAGAGAGAGATGTATCAGCGTGTATTTGAGAAGCCTCCCGACCGGCATTCTGACTTCTCGCGTCTGGCTCGGATCCTGACAGGAAATGCTATCGCTCTGGTGCTGGGAGGAGGTGGAGCCAGGTACGAATCTGTCTTCCCCTTTATTACCAATCCTCCTCAATCCACCTGGCCTGGTGCCAACAACATTTCTCACTTGAATAATCTAGTAAAAGCATGTTGATATTAGTGGAACATTGACTGATTTTCCCCGTACTTATTCAATCATTGTAGTTTAGTGGTCTCTTGAAGTGTTTATCCTTTGCACTATTACAAGTGTCTTGTAATTTTTGTGCCCATCAACTAATCATAATATAGTCATTTCTAACCCATTAGTGATGTTTTGGGGTTCACATCCTCAGCATGTCTCTCGATGATAGCGACTCTTTGTCTACTCTCTGTCCCTGCCTGCTCTCAGTCATAATCAGCGACTTTTTAAAGGTGGGTCAAAACATGATATATAAGGGGGCATAAAATGTGTAATCTGTCTAATCTACTTTCACATAGTGGTAGCTTAATTTTTCAATTGTGTAATTCTGTTACTGCAATTATATGAATATCATGTTATAAATATTTGCGTTTCTGTGACCATATATGCTTGTCATCTTGACTTTTTAAATCTTTTTATACAGACTTTGTTTACATATGAAGTATGTTTAAAGGTGAAGTGTTTAATTTAATAATAATAATCATTATCATAGGTTTCCCAAATCCTCCTGCCACCCCTTTTGCTCTGCCTTCTCTGTCATGTATCAGTCAAGCATCACAGGAGCAGTGTTCACACTCTTTGAGGAAATCAACCTAAAAATTCCTGACTGTTAGTTGTTTTTACACATTAAACTGGGATGAGAGATGGAAAAAATTCTCACTTTACCTTTAAAATGCTTTATAAAACGATACTAATATCACACAACGCACTAGTGAGAACTCTAAGCTCATGTGTGAATATGAAACCACACTATACCCACAGAGGCTGCTCTCAGGTGGGCATCATTCGGGCATTGAGTGAGGCGGGGATCCCTGTAGATCTGATTGGCGGCACCTCCATCGGTTCCTTGATAGGAGCGCTCTATGCTGAAGAGCGAAGCGTCAGTCGTATGACTGTCAGAGCACGCCAGTGGGCCATGGTGAGACCTCTAAGCACTGAACACTAACATTCATGCATGTAGAACCATCATTGAGATTTCTTTTTTTTTGTGCACAATAGAATTTTGGATCCATATTTAGGAAGATCACAGACTTGACCTACCCAGTGACATCCATGTTTACTGGAGCATCGTTTAACTCCAGCATTAGTGCAGTCTTCCAGGACAAACAGATTGAGGTTCAATTTATTGGCACTTGCCACTGCACAATAAAATAGTATATAAACATCATATTCTTAAATAAGTCTAAACTTTCTGCATATCTCTTTTTTTTTATGATAGGACCTTTGGATCCCGTATTTCAACATCACCACAGACATCACTGCCTCTTCCATGAGAGTGCACACTTATGGTTACTACTTTTTCTCTGTAACTTGTCATCTCCATCTCATCTTTTGTGACAGATTATAGCATGTACACTCTTTTTTTTTTAGGCTCTCTGTGGAGGTATGTGCGTGCCAGTATGTCTCTCTCTGGATATCTTCCCCCTTTATGTGACCCTAAAGATGGGCACTTGCTCATGGATGGAGGCTACATCAATAACCTACCTGGTTAAGTGTCCTATTGTACTCTTACATTGCAAAAGTTGAGATGCCAATTGCAAAATTACAGTTTATTTTTGGGATTACATATACAAATTTTACCTGCTTGCATACTCCCATAGAGCCATATATACCGGTACTATTACTATAGCAAATCTCATGGTTTATCATTTATCTTATTGCCTGACTGTAAACTGCTACATGTAGAAAAGCATTTTCTAGATATTTTAAACATTAACTGTATAAATATCTGTAAAGCTGACACAGCTCGCTCCTTGGGTGCCAAGATGGTGATTGCCGTTGATGTTGGTAGTCAGGATGAGACCGATCTGACCAACTATGGAGACTCTTTATCTGGATGGTGGCTGCTATGGAAACGCTTGAACCCGCTGACAGAAAGAGTGAAGGTCAGAATCATCTTAATGTGTTTTCTCCAATTGCATTGATTATAAGTAATGCATTCTTACCAAATGTATGGAAAATCCTAAAACTTCTGTATACATATCTGTATATATATATATATATATATATATATATATATATATATATATATATATATATAAATAAAAAAGGAATATATACAGTGTATATATACTGTATATATATATATATATATATATATATATATATATATATATATATATATATATATAAAAAGAAAAAAATACTTTTTTAAAACCTTTATAAATTAAAAAAGAGTGATTCCCTTCATTACTTTACTTCTTGCATTCTTTGGACATAGATTTTATTTCATCACAAAAATATGCATTTTTTGATATTCATGACTTCGTATCCTCTAGGTGCTGAACATGGCAGAGATTCAGACCCGTCTGGCCTACGTGTGTTCTGTGCGTCAACTGGAGCTGGTAAAAGACAGTGACTACTGCGAGTACCTTCGACCACCCATAGATCGCTATGGCACATTGGATTTTGGCAAATTTGATGAGATTGCTGTGAGTGGCCTGTCATCCTCTCATAGAAACTTCTGTTGCCTTGGCTTTGACGGCAGCAATGACTTTTCTGGTGTTGCAGGATGTTGGCTACCTGCATGGGAAAACCGTGTTTGACGTGTGGTGTCGGAGTGGGGTGAGGGAGACGATGCTCAAAGACCAACATCAAGAGGAATTCCACAAATCTAGGAGCACAAATGTAAGGGCCTTTGAATGAGCTTGGCTTATCACAGCATCAGGCTGTTTCCTCACAAACTCATTTCCTGGTTATCTGTCCTTCAGGTGACCTGTCCCAATGCTTCTTTCACCGATCTGGCTGAAATAGTGTCCAGAATAGAGCCAGCGAAGCAGGCCATTGTGGATGGTGAGGAATAGACCATCTTTACACATGTCCCTTTTCCATGTCGCTTTCTCATCTTTGTGTTGTTTCTTAAATTCTCTCGCACACAGAGGAGTCTGAGTACCAGACAGACTGTGATGAAGATGCAGTGCTGTCAGACTTCGATTTGCAAAACAGTGAGCATACAGAAGAAGAAGAAGATGAAGAAGAGGAGGAGGAGACCGCAGATACAGCTGATACAGTAAGATAACTGCAAAGATGTGTTAGTTATAGTTTTAGTGCGATTAAACATAATATTAATGATTTTTAACTTCCAAACAGGATGATGACATGGAGATCAGGACAAGGCGACATGGAGCACTCAAACACAGCAGCCATCATACCACCTGACCTCAAATACCTCTTTTCCAAGAGGTTTCGATCATTTCACAGTAGCCTTGAGCCTTTACACTAATGATCAAAAGTTTGGAATAATTTTTTTAAGTCAAGACTGCATTTATTTAATGAAAATACACTAAACAGTAATATTGTGAAATATAATTGCAATTTGAAATTTCTATATATATTTTTAAATATATTTTAAAATGGGATTTATTCTTGTGATGGCAAAGCTGAATTTGGTGCTCAAGACACATGTCTTATTATTATCAATGTTGAAAACAGTTGTTCTGCTTACATTTTCTTAATAGAAAGTTCAAAAGAATATAATTTATTTGAAGTAGAAATATTTTGCAACATTATAAATATCTTTGCGGGCACCTTTGATCAATTACAGTTCTTTTAAATTGTATATCTCAGTATTACTGTTTTGTTTCGTTTTTTTTGTATTTTTGATTCAATAAATGTAGCCTTGGTGAGCATAAGAGACTGGTAGTGTATAAGGGGATTTTAACAAGTGACATTATCAGTATTGAGTTAACTTGAATTGTTAGAAACTAACAGGTAATTTGAAAAGGATCTTAATAGAAAAAAGCAAGTATTATGTTACTTCTTATTCCTTTAATTTTCCAAAGTATGATAAATGAGTCAACGTATTGAGCCCTAGATATCAATCAGCCAACCCTGACATCTCTCTGATTCCAGTAACAATTGATAAAAGTCTATAAATTCAGTTTTCGCCTTTACTTTTAGTATTACACAAGATCAATTATATTTGAAAAACTTTATTTTTCATGCAAGCTGTCAATGCAACCTCAACACAGTCTTACTGTGTGAAAGGATAAGCTGTTTTGTGTCTGTATTATCTTGTTAGTGAAGTTATAAGCAGTGACATAAAGTCTGTTTCTTTGAAGTTTCAGCTTTTAGAGAATGTTGTTCAAATGGAGAGAAGGATGAACTAATAAATGTTACTGTGAGAGATATTCTGATTCTTATAGGTAAAGTGTTTGAAGCAATTGATGGTCTTTTGCAATGCTATGTGTTCTTTGGCTCATTAAAAGTTTCAAAATTGTCAGAATTTTTGGTTGATTGTTTAATACTAGATATCTAGTATATCACATCATGTAGAATCAATTTCATCTTTTGAGATTAGTTTTCATTGTACTATGAAAACACACAAGTCCCACGTGTGAAAATAGAGGAGAGATACGCGAGATATCTGGACTTTTAGTGTTTTCCTCAAAAATTGGGCAAACAGGGTAAAATTATTTTCAGGACCTTGGACAAGGCCTTAAGATTAAACAAAATGTGTTCAGTTCAGTGTTGGGGAACACTTAATGAAAAATGTATTTAAGAAAAGAGATACTGGCCTGGTTTCACAAACTTCAGATTAAGCCAGGATTAGGCCTTAGTTAAATTAGGACATTTAAGTTATTATGCCTTAGAAAAAAAAAACATTAGTGTGCATCTTGAGACAAAACGATGGAACTGACATATTTTAAGATATGTATATTATTTTAATAAGTATATTTTAAGATATGTCAAATTTAAATTGAAGTTTAAATTGACATTTAAAAATAGCTGGAAAATAAAGACTTTTTAATGTCTTTAAATCTCTCATTTAGAGGCTGCATTTATTTGATCAAAAATAAACAGTAATATTGTGAATACTGTTTTCTATTTGATTTTTTTTTTTCCTGTGATGGCTAAACTGAATTTTCAGCATCATTCCTCCAGTCTACAGTGTAACATGATCCTTCAGCAATCTTTCTAATACTGATTTGCTGCTCAAGGAACATTTCTTATTATCAATGTATACAACAGTTGCTGCTTAATATTTTTTGATGAATAGAAAGTTTTAAATTACAATATTTAATCAATGTTTTAATCAATTCAATGCATGTTTGCTAAAAAAAGACTATTAATTATTTAAAAAATGTTACTGACCCCAAACTTTTAAATGGTATTATATACATGTGGTATGTTCTTTAAAATATGAGCTCAATACAATAAGCTGTCAACACTATAAAATGGAAAGGTTAAAAATAGGTTAAAATAGAAGGAAGGAAAATGTAACTTTCATGGTTTTACTGTATGTTGCTTTACTCCTTTAAAATTAGGTCTCAGAGTGGGGAATGATAAACTATAGTCTTGATTAACTCATTCTAATTATAATTCTATAACTAATTAAGTTAAAGGTGGATTTGTCTATATAATGAATATTTCTTGCACATTTTGTAAGTGACAGTGTTGACCCATAGGCTATTGCATTTTATAAACACACATTTTGAGAAAATGGAAGAGACAGGAGGTTCCACCAAAACTTAAATGACCTCTCAGCTTGTTAGTGAAATGAAAGACCTGGAGGAATCACTGGAAATAATCATCAAACCTCACACAGTCTTCCGTTTGCGGCTGACCGCTCCTCTAATTAAAGACTTCCTCAAAGACTTCCATTACACACTTTAGACGAACTGCTTTAGACCTTTAGTAGCCTAAGTAAAATTAAAATGCCACTCTTATTATTTACATTTTTAGAGGAATTTCGGTCAAGCAAAAAAAAAAAAAAAAAAAAAAAAAAAAATCAAATATCAACCAAAACCTGAGCCAGAATATGGTTTCATGTTTTTACTTCTATAGGCAACTGTAATGTGCATCTCATGTATTTTCTGCCTTAAGAGTCTCCAAATGGGAGTCGTCTCCATTTTACGATCTGTAATGATAAACTGATGTGCTACCCAGCCTTCCGGAGTTTGCTTTATGCTCCTGTAAAATTCAGTTCAGAGAGCAGCCAGAGACACACCAATCCAGATGCAGAGATCCGTTTACTCACCGCAGTCAGTCACAGAACTTTTCCATACACAACCCTGTCAGCCACTGTTCATTTAATACAATCATATCTCTATATCTGCATGCATAGAATTCAGTAGAACAACAAAGAACGTCTGAATATCTGTCGTTAAATGTTTGCTTTTCGTTTATTTCCAGTCATGAATTCTCTTCTATGAGGATGAATGCTAACGTATAGGATTTTGAGGCTGATCTTTTTTATCACATCGCACATACTAGGTATTTAAAGGGATAGTTCACCAAAAAAAAAAAAAAAACATGTCATATTTACTCAAGTCAACGGGGTCCCATTAACTGTTTGGTCACCGACATTCGTCAAAATATCGTATTGTGTTCAGCAGAACAAAGAAATTCATACAGGTTTGGAACAACTTGAGGGTGAGTAAATGATGACAGAATTTTCATTTTCGGGTGAACTACCCCTTTAAAGACAATCTGTATATGGGTAGTTGACATAATGTATGTCCATGAACTTTTTCAGCATTACAAATTTGGTTCCAAAAGTTGTAAGATCACTAATCAGACCATACATTAAATTTAATCTAATTTACAGTAATATGTGTTGTTTTCCATCGCAAATTATAGACCAGCATAAATATTAAGTAAAACCATACATGAATTTCAAGGAATGTTTCAAAAAGCATCTTGTTAACTTGGCCAATGTCACAAATTGTAATAAAAACGTATTTTCTTATATATATATATATATATATACACTCACCGGCCACTTTATTGGGTACCCCATGCTAGTAACGGGTTGGACCCACTTTTGCCTTCAGAACTGCCTCAATTCTTCGTGTCATAGATTCAACAAGGTGCTGGAAGCATTCCTCAGGGAGTTTGGTCCATATTGACATGATGGCATCACACAGTTGCCGCAGATTTGTCGGCTGCACATCCATGATGCGAATCTCCCGTTCCACCACATCCCAAAGATGCTCTATTGGGTTGAGATCTGGTGACTGTGGAGGCCATTTTAGTACAGTGAACTCATTGTCATGTTCAAGAAACCAATTTGAAATGATTAGAGCTTTGTGACATGGTGGAAGTAGCCATCAGAGGATGGGTACATGGTGGCCATAAAGGGATGGACATGGTCAGAAACAATGCTCAGGTAGGCCGTGGCATTTAAACGATGCCCAATTGGCACTAAGGGGCCTAAAGTGTGCCAGGAAAACATCCCCCACACCATTACACCACCACCACCAGCCTGCACAGTGGTAACAAGGCATGATGGTTCCATGTTCTCATTCTGTTTACGCCAAATTCTGACTCTAACATCTGAATGTCTCAACAGAAATCGAGACTCATCAGACCAGGCAACATTTTTCCAGTCTTCAACTGTTCAATTTTGGTGAGCTCTTGCAAATTGTAGCCTCTTTTTCCTATTTGTAGTGGAGATGAGTGGTACCCGGTGGAGTCTTCTGCTGTTGTAGCCCATCCGCCTCAAGGTTGTGCGTGTTGTGGCTTCACAAATGCTTTGCTGCATACCTCGGTTGTAACGAGTGGTTATTTCAGTCACTGTTGCCCTTCTATCAGCTCGAACCAGTCTGGCCATTCTCCTCTGACCTCTGGCATCAACAAGGCATTTCCGCCCACAGAACTGCCGCTCACTGGATGTTTTTTCTTTTTCGGACCATTCTCTGTAAACCCTAGAGATGGTTGTGCGTGAAAATCCCAGTAGATTAGCAGTTTCTGAAATACTCAGACCAGCCCTTCTGGCACCAACAATCATGCCACGTTCAAAGTCACTCAAATCAACTTTCTTCCCCATACTGATGCTCGGTTTGAACTGCAGGAGATTGTCTTGACCATGTCTACATGCCTAAATGCACTGAGTTGCCGCCATGTGATTGGCTGCTTAGAAATTAAGTGTTAACGAGCAGTTGGACAGGTGTACCTAATAAAGTGGCCGGTGAGTGTATATAGCTATATATATATATATTAATATATATATATATATTTCCAGGTATAAAATTACGTCATCTCACGAAACTCACTTGGCTCCCACTAGAGAAAATATATGATAATATATTCAATTTATATATGTCAAAAGTTTGGAATAATTAAGATTTTTTATGTTCTTGAAATATTTATATACTGCAAGATACTGCATTTATTTGATCAAAAGTACAGTAAAAACAGTTTTATTGTGAAATATTATTACAGTCTAAATCTTTGAAGATATTTTAAAATGCAATTTATTAAGTATTATATATATATATTCTGAAGGATCATGTGACTGAAGTAATGGCTGCTGAAAAATCAACTCTGACATTACAGGAATAAATTACATTTTAAAATATCTTCAAAGATTTAGACTGTAATAATATTTCACTTTTAATT